GCAGTCCTGCTAGCACAAGGGTTTAACCCATTGGGCCACCGGGGACTCCTATCTTATGGGTATCGTATCCTATGGGTATTCATTCGTCAAGAGCCTGGATAAATCACAAAGGCAAATTAGAGACCACACTTGAACCAATGGAGGGGCATCCCATACACGCACATCTTCAATGTCACAGATCTGGCACCTAAGTACACATTTAAGCACTACCTACATCTAACCAAATATATCCTCTCTAAGAATTTTCTAAGCCTTCCAGGTGATTCTATGATATACATCTGCTAAAAGTTAGCAAAACAAGACTGCGAGTTGTTCTCCCCGCAGATAAAAATATTCTCTCCAACTGTATTCCCTACAGGCAGGTTTCATTCTGATTCCCTTTCATCCCAGCTGATTCTTCTGTTGTCCATATATTTCCTTGCTGTTCTTCTTGTCTACTCTTCCGGGTGCTTTCCTCCCTCCATTCTTCTCCCTTCTTTGGTGACCTCCCCCTTCATTGATGTGTCTCTATTGTGTGCAGTTCCCTCTCTCTGCTCCAGGGGTCCCAAGATCTGGCCCCTTCCTCTTTAGTCTTTGGGATGAAGAGGAAGAAAATCAGGACCTGTATATGTACAGTAGGCTCCCCATGTCCACATCAGTTAGGCGTGCAGGACCCCCATAAAAGTGGGAAAACTGCAAATGAAAAATCCACTTTTTTAACCAAAGAGAATAGGAGCCCCCGGTGGTACAATGGGTTAAACCAGGGGTCCACAAACTTTTTAAACAGAAGGCCAGGTCACAGTCCCTCAAACTGTTGGCGGGCCGGATTATAATTAGAAAAAAACATGAATGTATTCCTCTGCACATTGCACATATCTTATTTATTGTGCAAAAACATTTTTAAACATACAATAATTAAAATTAAGAACAATTTTAACAAATATAAATATATTAGTATTTCAATGGAAAATGTGGGCCTACTTTTGGCTGATGAGATATGATTGTTGTTGTTATTGTGTGCATTCAAGTAGTTTCATACTTAGGTTGACCCTGAGTGAGGGCCGGGTAAATGACCTTGGAGGGCTGCATCCGGCCCCTGGGCCTTAGTTTGAGGACCCCTGGGTTAAACCCTTGTGCCGAAAGGACTGAAGAACGACAGGTCAAAGGTTCAAATCCAGGGAGAGCATGGATGAGCTCCCTCTGTCAGCTGCAGCTCCACATGTGGGGACATCAGATAAGCCCCCCACAGGGATGGTAAAATATCAAAACATAAGTGTGTCTACTGGGCAACATCCTTGCAGATGGCCGTTTCTCTCACACCAGAAACGACTTGCAGTTTCACAAGTTGCTTCTGACACAAAAAAAAAAACTTAAGGGAATCTTATGTTCTCCAGGATGACACTATGTGTAACATCAGGTGGAAGTTGACCATGGAGTCACCTCAGAGGATCTAGAGCAATATGGGCAAACTTCAGCCCTCCAGGTGTTTTGAACTTCAACTCCCACTATTAGGAATTGTGAGAATTGAAGTCCAAATTACCTGGAGGGCTGAAGTTTCCCTGTGTCAGATCTAGAGATTGTTCCAGATAACATGTTAATCAAATTCACGCATGATCAATTTTGCAAAAGTTAAACCTGAAAATGTGGAGTGCTGACTGTATATCTGTTTTCCTCATTTGATAGACTTAATGTTTCTTATTTGAATGGCATTCTCTGTTGTTGATGCTTAATGCGTGATGGCATAAACAGGAGCAAACTCCAGTGATATTGCAATGGGTTATCCCTAGGCCTTATGTTTTGGCCTGGAACCTCAAGGCCTGGGATAATCCTGACTTCGCAAGCCTGCGCTGCTCTCTCTCTCTCTGCTTACCTATCTTCCTTCACTCCTCTTTCTCTTGCCTTTTCTTATCTACTGTACATTCACTCTTTCCCCTTCCCATCTTCTGCATGGGTATATCTTCCTTTCTTGTATGTACCTCAGCATTTCAAGGCCATTTGATGCTGGTCTTCCTTCTGTTTCTTTTCCTCTTTCTGTTTCATTCTTTGCTGCCCATCACATTTTTGATGGCCACTGCAAGGTATGGCATGGAGTGAAAAAACTTTGCTAAGCAAGAGAGAGAATAACATAGCAAGTAATAACATTACCATCTCACACTCTAATATTTCAAATTACACTAAGTATTGTTGAAAGATATTTTTCTGCACCTCACCAAAAAAAAAGTATATTGACATATTTAATATTAATTCATTGATGGTGATCTCTGTTTGTAAGCACGCCTAACATAATGGATCAAAATGGCTCATTGGAACATATCAATCATATTGATGTATATATATCTACTTGTTCTGTTTCAGACAGGGCATAAGAGTCTATGCTGTAGCTTCTTGTAGCCTGTCCAAAACCATCCCTCACTCTCTATCATTACCACACACTATACAGCTGATGTATGTGTCCAGTGGCAGAGAAGCTGATACAAATGAGGGGACTGCTTTCCATCCCTGCAATAAATGAGGGCTGCCCCATGCTCCTTCCAAAGTAAATTGCATGTAGGGAGAAGGCAATTCCCACTGACATGTCACCTTTTTCCTCTCTCTTCATGGTCATTTGGCAATCCTAGCAACAGCAATATGGGGCCTGTGGGAAAGCCATGGAGCTAGATTGAGCTGCTATGCTCTGCACACATCTGGAATATCAGTCATGACCTGAGTGCTTTGCTTAAATATGACCCTATGACTCCAGTCTACCAGGAAAACCAAAATGAGCATAGATCCAGGAGCTTTGGAACAAGCACACTTCATTTTTGCTATCTCTGTCCATCTCAGAAATCAGAGATCAGCATTCCAAACTGAAGTAAGGGAGACCACTTCAAGTCTCCTCTTGAACCATGAAACTTCCTAAACGTCCTTAATCCAGGGTACATTTGCACTGAAGAATGAATGTAGTTTGACATTACATTAACTCAGATATGGGTAAACCCAGGCCCGGGGGGGGGGGGGGGCGGATGTGGCCCATTGGGCTCTTTTCTCGTGCCTCCTCGCCCACACCATCCTATCCTTTTTTCCTTCTCTCTTTCCTTCCTCCGTCCCTCCCTTCCTCCCTTCCTTACCTCTCTCATTCTCCCTCCTTCCTTCCCTTCCACACTTTCATCCTTCCTTCCCTCTTTCCTCCCTCCTTCCCTCTCTCCCTCTTTCTTCTTCCTTCCTTCTCTCTTTCCTCCCTTCCTCTCTCCATTCCCTTCCACCCTTCCTTTCTTCCATCCCTCTCTTCCTTTCTTATAATAATAATAATAATAATAATCATAGTTTATTTGTATCTTGCCCTAGCTCCCCAAGGGGATTCAGAGTGGATTCCAGCATATATACAAACAAAGGCAAACATTCAATGCCTAAAAACATTGTCTTTTTCCTTTTCCTTTTCTCCTAGGTGATGTTTAGCTGGGAGAAAAGAAGGTAGAGTCCCCTCAGAGAGATAGGGCAGGTTATAAGTAAAATGTTGTTGTTTTAGAGAGAGAACATGAGAATGATATTTCAAAAATGTAAAGGGTGTCCCATTGAGGAGGAGGTGGAAAACTGATTTTTTTTTTGTTGCTCTACAGACCAGGGCACAAGGGAACAATGGTTACAAATGTCAGGGAAAGATATTGAAAAGGTTAGGAAGAACTTCCTGGAGAGTAGCATAGGCTGCCTGGGAGTATGGTGGAGTCTCCTTCTCTGGAGGCTTTTCTGCAGAGGCTGTCCATTGGGAATGCTTTGATTCCGCCTCCCTGCATGGCAGGGGATTGGACAAGATGGCCCTTGGGGGTCTCTTCCAATTCTAGGATTCTGGGATTATATATCAGGAGTAGACAATATGGTGTCTAATGGATACATTTTTCCTCTCCCATCCACCATCTCATCTTGACCAAGACCAACCCTTTTAGGATCCAAAAGTTTCCTGTCATTCCTTCACTTTCTGCCTCCAAAAGAGAAGAAGAAGAAGGGGAGGAAAGGGCAGGAAGGGCACTTGGGGAGAACCCCCTTCCTCCCATCCCGCCACCCTGCTGTGACCCGCCATGCGGCCCCTAAGTTAGAAAGTTTGCCCAAGCCTGCATTAACTGCTATGGCTCAATGCTATGGAATCATGGGAGTTGTAAGTTTACAAAGAGTGCACCAAACTACAGCTCCCATGATTCCACAGTATAAAGTCATATCAGTTATGTATTGTCGAAGGCTTTCATGGCCAGAATCACTGGGTTGTTGTAGGTTTTTCCGGGCTATATGGCCATGTTCTAGAGGCATTTTCTCCTGACGTTTCGCCTGCATCTATGGCAAGCATCCTCAGAGGTAGTGGTTTATCAGTTATATCAGTGATATCAAACGGTATTCAATAAATGAACCTCCTAGGTGCTCTCTTTTAATCTGATATATATTGCAAGATTGTTGTGTGAATAAAATGAAGAGGAAGAGAATCGTTAGTACTGCCTTCAGCTGATTGGAGGAATGGCAGGAAATAAATGTTACCAATGTACAAATAATGGCAGGATTGCAAGGATCTTTAACCATTTTCTCATTCCTTCCCTACATCCATGGCTCAGGAATAGGAGCGTCAGACCGGCACTCCTTTTAGGCTCATTCTACTGAAGCATTTCTACTTGCACAAGCCAACATGAACTGTTGCCAAATCCATCTCGGGGCTGCAGATGGTTATATCAGAGCTGAACTTCTGTGGTTCACCATTCATCACAGCCCTGATTTTTCTACAGCTCCCAAGGAGGCCAGAAAAGTGATGGCACGAGAGGAGGGGAAAGGGCCAGTGGAGCCTGTCATTGTTAATGAGATTATGCTGCTGTAATCTTGTCCTAAATCGGATTTTCATGCTGCGCTCGGTTATCACAGGGGGCAGAGGGGGAGAAAGAGGATGGGGAGAGAAGTTCAGCCCAGATAGAATGATCCTGGCAGGTTTCATTTAATTAGATTGAATAAACACAGGCCATAAATCAGGAGGCATTATTTAGACAACATTAAAAGTGTTTATTTGTTGGTGGCTTCTCAGACTCCACAAGTGGAAAAAAACCTGATGAATTTTGACTGATATTCAGCAAAGATAAGAATGTCAACCCAATTGTTCGGCAGGAGTGAAGGCACTTTATCCGCACGCACCTTTTCCGTAGGTGAAAGAAAAAGATTGTTGTTCTTGGCTTGTATGCAGCTGTACTTCACCATGTTATGCAATTGTTGTCTTCCCAAATAATGCAGCTAGTGTCATGTTTAAATTCTTTCCAAATCCTGTTTGTCCTGTTTTAGTTTCTCCATGCAGCCAGGTGTGAAATTTTACTCACAGTGGCTGATGATCATGCAGCTGCCTTCTTCATTCCTCAGTCCACTTATTTTTTCCTCTTCCATGGCCACAAGTTGGACTTTCAAGACTGGGATGGACAAAAGAAGAGAGGTGGTTGTAATTAAGAGAGGTGTCTCATAAAAGTAGGAAGCGTGATTCATTTCAGACCCCTGGTCCTCATAAAAGTGAATCTGTGGGATGAACATGAGAAACTGAATCAGAGCTGTAACAAATTGATAGCCTCATATAAATGGCCTAAAATGCACAGGATAAATCACAGAAACACGCATCCATTGCCTGTGTCAGCCTTGATTCTAGGAAAAAGGGACACCATCAAGCCCTGAGGTGGAGCTTTGGTTTCTTGGGGCCACAGTCTGCCATCTAAGACATGTCCCCTTCCTCCATGACACCACCTTTAAATGATTTCCAAACGTTAAACAGATGAATCACCTCTTCCTGAGGCTTAATTCCTGATAGTAAGGGCTTTAGAGCAAAACTACCCATGGATTTTTAATCTCACACTTGAACTAACTTTCAAGAATTTCTCTGGGATAAAATTTGACTCTCAGGCTTCAAAAAGCAACATCCCACAGAAATGTATCTCCCAGCATAGGGTTGCCACACTGAAAGATTGAGAGGGCCCTTGTGCCTTTAATTGTTCAATGTGTTGTTGAAGGCTTTCATGGCTAGAATCACTGGGTTGCTGTGGGTTTTCTGGGCTGTATGGCCATGTTCCAGAAGCATTCTCTCCTAATGTTTCACCCACATCTATGGCAGGCATCCTCAAAGGTTGTGAGGTCTGTTGGAAACTGTGGATCTGTGGAAAGTCCAGGGTGGGAGAAAGAACTCTTGCCTGCTTGATGCAAATGTGAATGTTGCAGTTGGCCAGCTTGATTAGCATTGAATGGCCTTCCAGCTTCAAAGGCTGGCTGCTTCCTGCCTGGAGGCATCCAAAATCAGGACAGTAAATAAAGAACAATACTAAAAAAAACAGAGGAATTCCAGAGAAGAAACAGTCAGGGCCAGCTAACACCTCCCAACAAAGGATGTTTGCAGGAAATAGTATATCCTGGGGCTTTGCAGTTGCCTAGACCACTGGCTTGGGTCCGTCTCAACCCAATCTATTGCCCAGATACACAAACCCACGTGGATTGTCTCCATATCACTGCCACCACTGCAACTCCTTTCTAGCAAAGAAAGATGGGGTTGCTCTGCCTTTCAGGACATGCAGGCACCCATTCATGATCTCAGTAGATGCAACAGGCAATGGTTTCTTGGAGTCTCTCTGCACTGTAGTATAAATGCAGTTTAATACCAATTTAGCTGCCATGACTCAGTGCTATGAAACCCTTGGATTTATAGTTTGGGGAGACACTAGCATTCTTTGGCAGGGAAAGCTAAAGACAGTGTAAAACTGCAGCCTCCACCATTCTATTACATTGAGCAATGACATTTTAAGTGATATCAAACTACATCCATTCTACAATATAGATGCACCTTTGGTCACGTAATGTGTGCAATGCTTGTTTGTTTTTTTTTCCTCCAGTCTCATTGATCATGGCATAATACATCCTTCCCTAGTTGACTTTTATTACTTTCTTTACAGATTGGTTAACAAGTTATTTGCTCAAACTAGTTTGGCTGTTTCAGTGTTTCAAGTTCGAACTTCTAAGCTTCTAAACTTCCCAACCAGTTGTTTTGGACTTTAACTCCCAGAAATCCCATCCAGTTTACCAGTTGTTAGGAATCGTGGAAGCTGAAGTCCAAAACCCCTGGAGGACTGTAGGTTGGGAAGCAATATTCTAAGAAGATTGGTTCTTCTGGCAAGGAAAAGCCATTCAGTTTGCATGTAAAAAATCTTGAGTTTTTGTTTTCTTCAAAATAATTACTGCAACCAAAATCTGAGTATGCACAAAGGCAGCAGTGGTGACTGCTCTCACTCATGTACATATGCACATCATACCTGAAATCAAATTCATTCATTCAAATAGGTTTTTGGACTATGGCTCTGAGGGACCAGGCTTCAAAACCATGCTCAATAATGGAAACCCAGTGGGTGACTTTAAGGAAACCATGCATTCTCAATTTAAGATGCAGGCAAAGACAAAGGTTGAACAAGAAAACTCTAAAATAGGTTTCCCCTCATTTGCATAAGTAGTAGTTGACCTGAAGGAACACAACAAGAACTGAAGATTTTGTCACAATCCTAAGCATAAAATTGTTAGGTGCATGTGTAGACTTTACAGGCAGAACACTAGAGTACTTTTAGGGGAAAGGAAATATTCCAAGACCCAATCTCTTGATGTTGGTTAAGACTCCTGAAGTATTGCACCTGGTTTATCTTTCAGTAATCAAAAAGTCAAAGGACTTCAACACATTAGACCAGCAACTTGTCGTTGCAGTTGGACTGTCACCTTTGGTAAATAACCCTGTTACATAAAGCTATCACATCCCACTACTGGTTTTCCTCACTTCCTCCGCAAAGCTCCCATGATTCTCTCATCCCCAACTATTGATGACCAAAACCCATCATTATCTCCTGATCCCAAAACATTCTCATCATCTGTCAGTTGGTGCAATTTGTCTCTTCTGCTTCTGTGTGAATGTATAGGCAGTAACCTGGCATCGAGAGCTGGGATTCTCTCCTGCCAGCCTCTCTTTATTTCCAAGCTGGCTGTTTTACTTATATTTTATACATATCTTTGCCTGTTTTGTTGTTTTTAATGCTGAAATTGTGTAATTGCATAAATAGGAATAAGAAAATAAAGAAACCACAGTATTGCGGAAAGACAGAGTTCTGAGGATGTGCAGAAGTATAATCGAATCAGCACAGTTGTGCTATTGAAGAGAAGTACAAAATCCAAGTTCCTCATCCAGGTATGCATCTATTATCAATCTATGATAATGCAACTGCAACAGACCTGCAGGTTGGTGTGATGAAATCCATAGTGTATCTCCAAATACATATCTGGCATTTTGAACATAGTCTTAAAGCACCCAGACAAATCCAGTCACCTTTCTAATCCAGACAAAAGCAAGGTACCTCATTTCCTCTCTCCCCGACCCACCCCATCCCCCTGTTCAATTGCTATTCAGTAAAAATAGAGCTGGAAAATTTTTATAGCATATTCAACTTATTTAATTCCCTTGATGAGAAAAAAAGCAATGAACCTGAAACTCCAATTCATATGAAAAGCAATTCAAAGTCCAGACAAGCTGGGGAAAACATAATCTCATTTTCCCCTGCATTTCTTCTTTCGGTGACCTCTTGTATCCCACTTCTCCAACTGCACTAGAACGATTAGGTAACCCTTAACTCAGAAGTAACTTCTGCTGAAATCCCTGTGACTTATTTCCACAAGATGGCCATTATCTCTGGTGGTGATGCATGCCAGATCTACACTGTATTCAAATATTTCTTTCTGGGATATTTCTTTTTCTGCAAAAGCTTTATGCTGCCAGACTACCTTTTGTAGCAGGGATGATTGTAAATAAAAAGTGGTTTGTGGTTTAGTACAGAAAGCTGGAGGAATAAAAGCATGAAAGTAAATTCTGAATGCATACATGCTATCATTTGTGCATTCAGTAGCTGCTCTTTCTAATTGTAATAACTATGTTTAAAGCCAGACAATTCAATACATCCATGGTAGCACAACAGGTTAAACTGCTAGCTACAGAAAATCTGCTCACCAAAAGGTTAGTAGTTCGAAAACTATCATTTGGAGTGAGCTCCTGGCTGTCAGCCCTAGCTTCTGCCTATCTAGCAATCTGAAAGCATGCAATGCAAGTAGATCAATAGGTACCGCCTTGGCGGAAAGGTAAAAGGGCACCCCATGCAGACATGTTGACAACATGCCATGCTCTCCCTCTATTCTGCCTTGGTCAGAGCACATCTATAATACTGTGTGCAATTCTGGGCAACACAATTGAAGGGAGATGTTGACAAGCTGGAATGTGTAACTAAAATGGGTAACTAAAATGATCAAGGGTCTGGAGAACAAGTAATATGGGGAGCGGCTTAAAGAGCTGGGCATGTTTAGCCTGAAGAAGAGAAGGCTGAGAGGAGACATGATGGCCATGTATAAATATATGAGGGGAAGTCAAAGGGAGGAGAGAGCATGCTTGTTTTCTGCTGCCCTGGAGAATAGGATGTGGAACAATGGCTTCAAATTATAGGAAAGGAGATTCCACCTGAACATCAGGAAGAACTTCCTAACTGTGAGAGCTGTTCAGCTGTGGAACTCTCTGCACCGGAGTGTGATGGAGGCTCCTTCTTTGGAGGCTTTTAAACAGAGGCTGGATAGCTATCTATCAGGGGTGCTTTGAATGTGATTTTCCTGCTTCTTGGCAGAGGGTTGGACTGTGTGGCCCACGAGGTATTTTCCAATTGTAGGATTCTATGATGGTTTGGACCTTAATGGCATTCGTGTGCCATTAAAAGGACTTCAGCGATATGTTAAAGATGTGAATCTTTGCTTACAAACCATGTGTACAAAAATGTAATGTTTCCTTCTCCTCTCTGGCCAAAGCTGAAAGAATTTTCCCATATTTCCCCAAAAAATTACATCTGGGAACGTTGGAAAAAATTACAAGTATTGTTGGTAAACAAAACCACTTTTTTTAACAAAAGGCATTATTTCTCTACAAATCACAGTACTGCTGCAAAATTATTATTATTATTATTATTATTATTATTATTTCTATTACTGTTGCAGGAGAAATACAGGCTTCTTCAAATGGGTTGCCTTGGAGGACAACAACATTTTTGGATACTCTTTATGTGCCTAAAACTGTAATTTATTGAATGGGATTGTCTTTCAGTGTTTACTCCTTTTATTCCTCACTAGTCTCCTTGCCCAGTGTAGCATCCATCTTTCCTTTGTTTCTGTCTTTCTGTCTTTCTTTCTCCCTTCCACCCGCAGTAACTGTTTCCAAAGCTGCAGTGAGCCGATTGGAACCTTACATTCCTTATAAGATATTTATTCACCCATGACCAAAGTATTAAGAGGTATTCTCTGCCATGTCCATGCACAAGTGGAGGCATACTGGAGGATCCTTTGTCTTGTCCACACTCCACCCCCCAGCCTTTCCCTGCTCCTGAAAGAAGACACATGGTTTCAATGATGTCTTTGTTATCAGATGAAGCATTCAGTCCAATTTGCAATTTTAATGAAAATCAGACACCTGCACT